CAAAAACGAGATCCAATAAACAAAACAAGATTCGGGGGGGGTGGAATTGAAAAAAAGTCCTTCTCTAATCTTCAAAGAAAGTACAGGCCTTGGCGAAAGAATCGATACGACCGCCGGGTTTTCTCCTGAACCCTTCAAGCCAATCTGAACCCTTTCCCAAAAATGCCACATGGATAAAAACATGCCCCTAATATTTGCAAACACATTCGAGTTTCTATTGGGTGGAGGGGGGCCCGCCCGTTTAACAAAAGGGGGAAGGGATCACCCGGTGCCGACTTGTCGTCGCCTGTCGTCACCTGGTAGTTTTTCCGTCGATTATTTCTGTCTTTCGCAGACATGTTTCTCGGGTCAGTGGCTGCTGGCGTTATCTTTCGCTGATTCTACCGAGGTGTTCCTTGTATGTTACCTGCTGGTCCACTTGCGGTTTGAGGTAGACTCTGCCGCGTCGCGGGTCTCCTGGTCGGGCGGATAAACAGTGAGAACGCGTGCAGACTGCACTTTTGTGCACTGTGACTGCAGCAAACAACAAGATACTTTGTCATGAAGGCACAAAAATCTTGCAGTAATTTTATTCTGGAGTTGAATGTAAAAGAGACGAATGAGAATCACATTGGACAAGAAATGCGTCATGACTGAATGCGTAATTGTGTACACAAAAGCAAACTAACTTGGACATCAGCATCCAGGCGACCGATCCGATGAGTTCTAAAAACACTTCCATCAATACTGCTGCAACCCATGCACCGCATGCCAATCATACGATTCAGATGAAGAATCATAATGGAACCGTAAGGCAACAAATGAACAAATGGAAGCTTCATGAAGGCAACCTTATTTTTGGAGATTTCAATGTGCTCATTAGCATGGCCCCTGCGCACAGGATAAGGACACAAATCGAGGACACAAATCGAGAAGTGTACCATGCCGATGCGCATGGCTTAAGCACCATGAAGGGCGCAGCGAAGTGCTGAAAGAGCACCGTGGTTTTGGGGTTTTTTTGTTGGGGTGTGGGATGGATTTGATTTAGAGGTTGAAGTTGGAGTTTATGAGCCTTGAGACCCCTGTAGAATGCAACTTCCACCCAACCTCTTCACCAGCTAAACCCTCCACAGAGGGGGCTTGGTTGCGGCTTCAGGGGGAAGCTTTAGGGGGGAGCTTTAGGGGGGGCTTTAAGGGGGCTTAAAAAGAGGGCTGAAAGGGGGGCTTTAAACTCCTTAAAATGGGGGGCCTTAAAGGGGGGCTTTAAGGGGGCTTTAAAGGGGGGCTTAAAGGGGGGCTTAAAGGGGGTTTTAGGCTTCAAGGGGGGCTTAAGGGGGGCCTAAGGGTAGGCTTAAGGGGGGGCTTAGGGGGGGCTGAAGGGGGGCTTAAGGGGGGCTTAAGGGCTTTGACTTTGCCCGCCCCCCCCCCCCCCCCGAAGGGACCCCTTTGCAGGGACCCCTTTGAAGAGGGGCCGGAATACTGCTCATCGACCTTCTTCGTCGCACCCATCTCAAGTTGGGGCAGGTCCCTCGCAAGTGGATCCAACCACGCCTGTTGATTTCTTGAAGAATCCACCGTCTCTGACTCAGCTGCACACCGCCCTCGTGAAAGGAGATTGTGAAGAAGTTTACAATCGGCCTGTGGAGATACTTGCGCGGCAATCTTCATGTCGTTTGCGCTCGAGGCATCGCGAGTCGTTCTGGCGGATGCATACAGTACGCTGGGAGTGTGATTCACTGGAATTCAACACGACAAACAGTGACAGCCTGGTCAGTTTGTGAAGCTGAGACTGATGGTTTGGCGAAGCGCTTTCGCAAGGAATTCGTATTTTCTATGTTTTGAAAGATTTGTTGCACAAAGACCTTCAGGGATGTTTAACTGGGGGCAACAGTGCATCGATCATTCTGGCAGGGCAAGAGAAGATGGATTTTGGAAAGTGGCGAACCCGAGCACTTGCTTTGCGTTGCAGTTGGTGTCGCGATCAATTGCATCTCGAAAGAATTCCGATACGTCCCGTGTAATCTGAGGACCCAGCATGATTCACGAGGGCTGCATGTTTTTGTGCGTGCGCGGAACAATGTACGAGCATCCTCCAAGAGTAAGGAGGAGTGTTGCTCATGGACAGATTAGCATGGCCCTTGCGCACAGGATAACGACACAAATCGAGGACACAAATCGAGAAGTGTACCATTCCGATACGCATGGCTTAAGCACCATGAAGGGCGCAGCGAAGTGCTGAAAGAGCACCGTGGTTTTGGGGTTTTTTTGTTGGGGTGTGGGATGGATTTGATTTAGAGGTTGAAGTTGGGGTTTATGAGCCTTGAGACCCCTGTAGAATGCAGTACAGCAATCTAGATGATCTTCCGTACTCTATTCGTCAGAGGCTCGGGGCTCCATCCTCACCTAACCCATCTCACTACTCACTAGTCCCCAACACCCCGTCTACTGGCCCTCATAACCCTCATAACCGACACAATGCTTGACTGCTCGAACCGTTTCCGCAAGATTCTACAGTCATTGGGCAATGCATATATCTCGTGTGACTGGTTCTACACGATACAAGACCGCAGTGAACAACAACTGAATAAGCACTTGTTTACAGAATTTTGCCCATCGCGCAAGATGATTCCTATGAGTATTTGGTTTGACACACCCAGCCCTCTCCTGCGACTTATAGGAGCGCTGGCGTGCAGAATTTAACCGACGGAAATCAACACGAACACGTATGGCCAAATGGTTTACATCCTCATCAACGATAGATGGAACATTGCACCTGTTCTTGAACTATCTTGAATTCAGAATCACGCGCTTCCCCGATCTACATGTGAAACCAGTGCAGAAAAAGCGGAGTAGTAAAACGAACACTTGTTCACAAAAGTATCAGAACCCCCATGCAAATCAAAAGAATGATTACAGCTTTTTCATCGAGCAAAAGGTAGAAGAACAGCGACAGCTTGGCAAGCGGATAAGTGCCTTACGCTTACTCCCGTCGAACAAAAGAAACGTTATCTTTCAGAAGCTGCTTGGAATCTAATTGAGGACAAGCAGAAGCCATTCCAGAAGATGACTTCATCAAAACACGAGCCTTAGCCAAGGACATCCGTTTAACAACAAGGATTGTCAACGAACATGCGCTTGTACGAGAACAAGAAGAAATAGCGCAGGGCTACACATGGGGTAGTCTAAAGAAAGCGAAAAGACTTTTCAACCCAAACGATACAAGTTCAAAACCGACATGAATGCAAGACGCCCAGGTAAACCAAGAACATCATGGCTTTTAGAGTCTTTCAAGCATGCATTAACCCTTCGGTGACGGTCCGAGAAATGTGACAATGGCAAGAATGAGCATCGCCAATTCGTCCTGCAACATGCTCAGACAAGACAAGGAACATGTTGCCACCAAAACAGCACAAAAACAATAATGTGTTTTTCGCGCTGCATCACCGAAAGCCCGTCGCCGAATGATGGTCACCGAATGTGCCTGGCAGTGGATGTGATCGCACCACTACCAGGCAACCTGTTGCTTAGAACCAGTAATACAAGTGCGTCACCCATTTTTTGTCTTCAGTGAATGTTCGTCACCGACTGCGCGGCGCAGCGCTGCGCCACACCTAATTTTGTCCCACCATCCGCAACCTTCAGGTCCCTAACTTTTTTAATGTTATTTCATTTGGTAAGCTAGGTTCTTGTGCACAGACTGCGCTAGTCTGCGTAGGAAAAAGAGAATATCATACCCCTGCAAAATCAATTCTAAACCACAACGCAGCGAGGGCTGGGACTGTGCAAGTCCGTGAACAGACACCTTTGCACGAAGGCCGCCAGGTCTTTACGGCAGGTTGCAATTTTTTTTGAGTACCCAAATCCCCAAACCCTAAACCCTAAATCCCGAAATCCCGGCCGTTCCGCGCAGCCTGCCGACCTCGACACTTCCGTTTTCAACCGTGTACTTGCTGCGAACCCATCCCCTGCGCAAAGCTGGGCTGTACATGGCAACGTTGGCTGTAAGAAACGCAGATTTTGCATGTTCAGTGTTCGCCCACGGATTATTGCCGGCCCGTATTGCTTGTTTTGGCCCTGGAAGCAGAACAAGATATTCCATCATGATGCCACGTTTGTTCAATTTTGCGCCATATGCAAGAACATTACCCAGTTTAAGTAGTGTAAAAGAACAATGGTCAACATTTGATTGCAATTTCTTTGTGGTCATAAAATGTTCTTTGCATAGTGCCCGAAATGGTTGGCGTTCGTCTCCACGGCCTCGTTAGTGCTTTGATTTTGCTTAGGGAGCTGTGTGGCTGGACGATTGCGAAGTTTCTGTGTGTAGATTCAGCCTTGCAGTACTCCCAATGTTCTCCCATGTGCACTTGTGGGCGGCCAGGCTTTGTGGCGGAACTACCTGGCGTCCACGCCTTTCAGAGGGCAGCGCTGACGTACACAACGTAAAACTAGTTGGAAGGGAAGGTGTGCGGAACTAGCCTATTCAGTTGCATGAGGGTGTTTGGAAAACGCAGTACCTTGCATGTATGGGCGGTAGGCTGCCGCGATGCAAATTCCGGTTTATCTGTGAATGCATGTGAGGTTGTCATCCGAAAGGAGCCGACAACAAACAGTGACAAGGTACGTGTTGCAAGTATCTGGGTATGTTTTCTGGCCTGGCAGTGAGCTATCACGACTCAGTGAAATCAGATGCTGGCAATGTAGTTCATTTTTTGGATGGCCGCTAGTGCAGGTGTCCTTCTTGGAGAAAGGAGACGAAATCACCGCCATTGATGTCGGCTTCTCAGTTCTCACTGCTGGTTTGGCGAAATTCAGAGGTATGCAGCATGATGACCAATTTGAGCTTGACCAAGAGTGCCGCAGTTGCCCATTTCAGTCATACAGAACCAGGGGCCAATGCCACGAACCGTTGTGAGGACTGTCTTAAGAGCTACGCTGGGCCAACAATCTGCACAAAATTGACATGCGTCGACTTCGAGATCGTAAGCTGACTTTGGCATGCATATCTGTTGAGTGCCTCCGCCATGCACCCGTCCGAAGTTTTTGCGGCATCAACCTTGCAGAAGGCACGGGCCCAGGACGATGGGCCTCAAGCTGACCAACTCGGATTCTGCAGCTTTGTGAACCCAAGCACACGTCCCTTTCGGTTGCCATGTTGCGATGGACCGTTGATGGTGCACACGAGTGCCAGGAGCTTGGCCATGGCGCGCCAATTCGCAGCGTGGTGCTCCCTGCTGCCTGCAGATCGCCGCAGGCATGAGCACTAGAAGGTTGTGGAGTTGCTTGGCTTCGAAGGCCCTTGAGATTTCCTGAAAGGAGCTGCTGCGCGGCCCACTGCCAGGTGCGCTTTCATTGTTGCTGCACCCAGCCTTGCTGCAAACTTCGCAGACAGAATCATGAATTGCCCAGTCCGTTGCTCCAATTCAGCCAGGCGCTGCAATGGAACGGTCGCTGAGTGATGTCCTCACCTTTCAGCCTCAAATACGCAAGCCGCGCAAGTCGCAGGCAGGTAGGTTCAAACGAGCGGAGCGATGTTGTTTTGGTTTCGCCTAAGGTATGCAAAGCTATGTCACAGACTCGTAGTATCCAAGTGGCAAGACATTGTGACATGTGACACAGCACGTCGCCAAGACCATTGGATTGTCCTAGCGTGGTCCGTGCTGCATTCGGAAGGTGCCGCCAGAGCACCTGCGGGATCGCGTGGTTCAGACACGTCTTCTGGATGATTCACTGAAGGCTTGTCTTGCATTCCAAAGATGGGGGGCCTGGGGGGGCCTTAGGGGGCAGCTTCTGTGTTTTGTCGTGCGCATGGTGCAGAGGCCGACTGCCTGGAGCGGCTTGCGGGAGCTGCGCAACGGGCGCCTATGGCCGGGGGTGCAGAGGGATGCAGAAGGGTCTCCAGCACCTTAGTCAATCACACAAGTTGCGGGGGAACGTGTCTTTTGGGAGATGTTGTGAGGTTCGCAGAGCATCATGGTCAGATGTGGCACCACCACCACCGCCAGAGAGTGATGATGAGGTGGCTTGAGCTAAGCATCATTCGCATCACGTCCACACTTTTGCTTTCTTGGAGGTCATAGAGTTTACGAAGGAGGATTTGTTCAAGGAGGATGCTCCGAAGAAGCCTCCAGATGCCACAGAGGACTGAAGAGGGACTGGGTGACTGGAGACTCTTTTTACAACGGCGAGCGTTGCTGCATGTTGCCTCTTTGGCTTTGGAAGTCCTATGTTTGTTGTGCTGAGAGCTGTGCACATTGTGCAATGTGAAGGCTGAGCCGAGCGCGATGTCGCGGGAGGCCAGTGGCTTCAAGTTTTAAGAGCCTGGCTCGAATCTTGCACAGCGTTGCCGGAAGGTAGCGCAGTTCATGCAGATGAGTATCAAAGCCACAACGTCTTGTGTCGGGTGCGGAGATGTCGAGTCAGGAGCTTGGTTCGGAAATGCCTTCGGAGCCTTCGGCGCCTTCCGAGCGGCGGGAGGTCTGCTGCATCAATGCAGGGCTTGCACAGAAGGATCTTTCAACTTTCAGTTTAAGATGCTAGTAGACTCGTAGCTTCGGTCTCGTCAGTGATGTCCAGTGGCACGAAGGTCCCTTCGGCTGTTCCTGCCATGAACCTGACGGAGCTCTTGGCGGAGAACGAGAAGCTGAGAGCCGCTGCTGCTCGTCATTTGTCAGATGTACTGTCACAGTAATGTCATGGTACGACACGCCGTGATGTATCATAGCTGTAAAAAAGCAGTCATTGTGCTGAGATTCTGAGTGCCTTAAAGGGATGGTGAAGACGAGAGGCTTGTTGAGGGGCTCTTTTGATTCGAGGCCGGCCTGAGCGAGAATGAGCATTTCTCCTGGCGGCCTGGTGGAACCACCCTCCCGGAGACAGGCCTCAACGATCCTCTCTACGCCTCAACTACGCCTCGACTTGGCTTGTTGTGCCTTCGCTAGTGTGCCTCTACAGCTCTCTACAGTGCCAAAAAGTGCTCGCCGTTTTCTCTGGCCCGTTGCCCAAGGGCCGCTCGCGGACGTCCGCAGGAAACGCCGGGGCTTCGAACTGTCGGGCGCGGAGGCCACTTCGCAGGGTGGGGCGCGCAAGGGGATGAACAGAGGGGACGTGCAACATTGGGACTGTTTGCTTGATGCCAGGCGAAGGACTTCTACGCAGATTGGAGTCAGGTGGGGGCTGCCGGTCTACACTGGCATTACAAGGGCTCCAGCTCTTTGACTGCATCCTGAGAGATGACGTTTGCGGATACTTGCTGGTGCTTCCAACGCCGACACGGTGCCTTGGATCGCCTTGAAAGGTCCGTTCCGCAGAAGATCAAAGATGGCGAGCAAAACGCGTTGTCCTCAGCCTTTCCGATCCTTTTTTTTTCTCATCGCGTTCGTTAGTCGAGACAGAGCTCCGAGGCCAAGTGCCTCTGTGGAGGTGCTGCCTCCGCTCGAGGCTGGGATCCCTGCCAGGGCCGTGCCCCCTCTATTCTATCCAGCGTATATGGGAGGGGCCCTATATGGCCGATGCATAGGTACCTATCCGTTTCATACAGACTTCTGTGGATAGGGGTCTGGAGTCTATAGTCCTGTGGCGGGGTGGGCTTCCTCCCAAATGCCTTGGTCCGATGCGCTGTGCAACCTGCGCACACCCCGCGAGGCAGTGCCCATCCCTGCGGCAGCTCTCGAGGATGCTCGGCAGGCTGAGCAGCAGCAACAGCACGCGTTTTGCATCGCAGCCCCTGGCGCCGTTCACGCCTGCTTTCAGGCTGTCGTAGCAGCGAGAGGCATGCTGGGCAAGTCTCGATCTTAGGGTTCTTTGCCCTGAGTCACACGAAGGCCTTTCAAAAGCAATACCTCATGTATTTAGTGTAGTTTTTACATACCGCAACGTCGATGTCGTGTTTTTATGTACCAGACATGTAACTTTCTTCTTCGCATGAGCGCTATGTTTACAATCGCTTGCAGCCGTTGTGGAGTTTGTCACGTTTTGGGAGTTGCTGTCTTGCCACGGCTACTGTACTAGCCACGACGGATCATGGTTGCTTCCTGTATCTTTGGTGTAGTGCTGAGGCCAGCGGTGCAGCGAGGCTGCGACTCCTTGCTGCGCTTGTCACTGCGTTCCGGCCTTGGGAGGACTTTGAGTGGAGGTTTACGAGAATACGCGACCCCTGAATACAGACCCCCAAATAGTAGGATCCCCCTTATCATAAAGACCCCAATCAGGCATCCCTAATATCGTAAACCTCCATGTGTGAATCGCATGCAACAAAGGGCGGTGGAGAGCGCACAGCCGAGGTTTGGTGAGCCAGGCGCCATGAAGCGCCGCAGCCGGGTGTCAAACTTCACTGTAACTCACCAGCCACGAACCCCCCCAGTCGGAGCAATTGGGGTTCTGTAATATTAGTGGATGAAAGAAGGCAGGTGTCTGTAATGTTAGTGCGTTAAGAAAAGTCAGAGCAGCCTGTGAATCTCACGCGTGGAGTTGCTGAATCTGCTTCTCCCAAGGAGAGCCGCCGGAAAAAAGGAAATTAGCAGAGAATGCCTCGGTTCTCCCAAGACGTGCAGTGGACCCTGAGAGAACTGATCGCTGAAGGTCTTCACTGAGCAGGGCATCGAGTGGGCTAAGCTGGCCAAAGGTGCGGGGGCACTCTTCAGCATCCCATCGAGGGATGCGCGGCAACGGCTTGGCAGAGCACATGGCAGGCGCATGTGCTCTTCGCAGTGCGGTCCAGAAAGAGGCCTCCATTTGGCTTGCACGGATGCCTCTGACTTTGCTTTTGCTCTTAAGCCCGAAGCGATTTCTGCAGGTTCCTTTGGACTTGACCGAAGATGGCTTTGTAGCGACCGTCCGGGCCATGACTTCTTTTTGGGTAGTCTCCGATGCTCCCCAGCTCCTGTCCACCAAAGTCCCTTGCCGACTTGCAGAAGCCCTTGAGCTGCAGCAAAGTGCCAGCATGATCCATAAGGCCTTGGCGCCATTCGGCATACAGCTGCGGAAGCAGACGGCCCCCTGACTCGCATCCCTTCAAGTCCGCCCACAAAGATACGGCCACTGGAAGTTCCGCCCGTTCCCAATGTGTTCGTGAAATTCGTGACCGCCTTTTTCGCAGTGCTGTCTGTTGTCGTTGTCACTCAGTGGACTCTTTGGCAACTTTGGCCATGCCTTGGACAGGAGTCGCCTCCAGAATCCAACGCAGTCCTGTCCAAGAAGGTCATCAACGAAGCCGGGTGCCGAGATGCGCCAAGAGTACTTTCCTGTCTTTCCTGTGAGTTGGTATTTTTCGCTCCAAGGTCCTGGCCATGAGCTCGGATCCAGGCCCACTGGCTTATTCATGCCTTTGCAGAAAAGCATTGGTGTGCCAGATTGTCGTCAACTCCTTCTCCCGCAGACCATCTTACCTAGATCAAGAAGCGCCGGCATTGGTTGTCCAGTGGGGTGTGGCTGCACGATGCTCCGCGCAAGATGGCCTTAAAAGAGCATGTCTGACAGCCCCCGCAACCCCGAGTGATTGCCCGGTGCCCTACGTGGTATATAGCTTTATAGAGCTTTCGTACCACAGGGTCAGCGTGAAGGCTGTAGGAGCCAGTCTGCCGCCATACGCTGTTTTAAATATCCCATCTTCTGCAGCTGACTTATACAGGTCCAGTTCTCAGAATGCCCATTTACAAGTTGCAGTATGTTGCAGCGTTGTACGAGCACCTGATTGACATTTAGATATTGACGGAGGTTAAGCACGACCTTCCTCGTCTTCTGCACAGATGGTGCCATGGCATTGCTGCTAACAAGATGCGCAAACTGTGTGGGTGCTCGCGAAAGGGCTTGCCCGATTGAAAACAGCTTGCACCAGGCTCCTACAGAGTCGCATGATATGGCTTCCAAGAACGAGCTGCTGAAGTCCATCCACAAGGCCACCTCTTCTTATTGTCGTGGTTTTCCTAACACGGAGCCTGCATGGCTCTCTCTTCTCCGTCGAACTGGTGTGCCGTTCTCTAGCAGACATTTCTAGAAACATTCGGGAGGTGGGGATTTAGGGTTTAGGGTTTAGAGGTTTAGAGTTTTGGGGTTTAGAGTTTTCTGAGCTTTGTCGCATGGTGTGCCGTTCTCTTGACTTGGCAGACATTTCCACAAACATTCGGGGTCCACAGGGTGGGGGGATTGTGGCCGAGAAGGCGCGACGTGAGAGCGATGTCAGGTGCCACCTTCACCTCCCAGGCCGCGGCCAAGGCCTGCCGTCGAGGTGCGTGTGACGGGGGTGTGCAGGGCAGCCGGGCTTCTGAGCTCCATGGTAGAGGCAGGCTAGTTTATTATTATTATTATTATTATTATTATTATTATTATTATTATTATTATTATTATTATTATTATTATTATTATTATTATTATTATTATGTCTTTTTTGCATAGTTGTAACTTTGTCTTTTTGCATATTTGTGACGTTTCTTTCTCAACTGCGATGGGGATGCCCTCCCCTTTGCTGCAGGGAGGCCGCGAATCCAGGAACGGAGGAATCCCTAAAAGAAGTTGTTGGGGTCATCCCATGGAGATGTTGGGTGGCAAGCCCTGGCTTTCGAAAGGGACCTTTTCGAAATTAGAAAGGAAATGTGACGAACCACTCCTAAACCACTGGAATGAGATCCGGATACCCCGGGCTAAAGGAGATGTTGGCCTGCAAGACCTAAGCTCTAGGAGACGTTGGGTGGCAAGCCCTGATCCTTAAAAGGAGATGCTGGGTGCAGAGGCCGAACCTCGAAAAAGGGGCCCGTTTGTTGCTAGCAGACCTAAACCCTGGAAGGCTGCATAGTGATGGCACAGGTGGCCAGCCCTAAACCCCAGAAGGCGATGTTGGGTGGCAAGGCCCGCACACAAACCGATGATGGGCAACCCTAGAAGGTGGCTAGCATGCAATTGCCCCCACAGTTCCCCCTCAAAAGTTGCAACCAAGCAGGGCGTTTGGCGAACAATTCGAGGGATCAGGCCGTGTCGATGTCCAAAAAAGTTCCAAAAACATGCAACTATATAAGTATTCTGCACTACAGAAGCCTCAACGGGGGGTCAGGGGCTCGGGGTCAGAGGGGGTTCAAGCTTTCGGGCCTTCATGCTTCGGCTAGCTGTGTACGAGTACGCACCTTGAGGCTTCCCAAGGTCTTCTCAACTCAGAAACACGCTGCAGCCGAAGTGGTGTTCGGCAACAGGTACCCTGGTTCATGCTGGGGGAGCCTGCCATGGACACCCTGACACGGCCTCAGCTTCTGCGGCCTTCAGAACTTCAATGACTCGCAGAGTTCAGAAGTTCGTGGGCGCGAGCGCTACCGATTTACCCAAGCAGATGTGCCGCACCGGGAGTGCCCGCCTTCCTGGGTTTTGTTGAGCGCCGGCGCATGACAGGAGCGGCTGTGATTCAGTAAAGTGTGTTTCGGCCCTGCGGAAACTAGAGTCATTGCAGTCTGAGAGACACGGTCGAGGGCAATACAATTCAGCAGAGATCCCAAGACTACATCCGGCGTGCACAAGTCGCTGGGAACTACAAAGTTCGGATGGGGTCATGGCATCGCGGAGATGCACCAGAACACAGCCGAAACGATCCAAAAATGTGTTTGCGTCCTCTGTGAAATGAAGAGGCATGTCGAGACAGCGTTGAGCGTTGTATGCGAGGGCTGGATAATGGAAAGAGAGATAAAGAGAGTCTTCTCTCGTCATCCATAGTCGGCGGACGCACATACACAGCTGAGGAGCAACAGTCCCGTAACGGAGACCAACTTGATTGGAGATCCGGCAGTCTGCGCCTTTATTGAGAGCTGCATCTTGTGCCGAAAGGCGGATTATCATGCCCAGGGCGTCGTGGCAAGAAACTCTTACTTCTGTGCAACTCCGCTCTAGGCAGATGATTCCTTTGCAAAGTTGGGATGAGGTCAAAGCTGCTCCGTTTGAATCGCTGCCTGACATTCACGCCGAGAGTAAGGCGCCATTCAATGTTGAGAAAAGGATCACACCACATGGCATTCCGGGAGAAGCATCGAGAAGCATCGAGAAGCCTCGCTTGCCTTCAGTTGGACATCTCCGTCAAGATGGTATCGGCGCAAGAGCACCTCACCGTTGGCCCTGGCCCTCAGCTAACCTCTCTGCGACACGCATGGCGCTGGGCCCGCGAAGAGCGCGAAGCGTATGCCAGAAGCACGTGGGCTAAGCGAGTAGTGTGCGACACGCCGTGAGCCGGTTGCTCTGACTTGAGGCGTAAGTCCAGTCCTGCTGGCAGCCATAGACCAGGCACCCAGAGTTTTTTTATTGACAGTGGAGCATAGAGAGCCTTGGCTTGTCTCGACGTAGGCCTGCAAAACTGCTGGTTGAGCAGAAGATCTCGGCTGCCACAGGTCACAGAGTGCAGGGGATAAGTTGCAAATGTTGGGGTAAAAGTTGTGCAAAAAATGTGAGTAAGTCACATGAGAAGTGAGTGAACGTGAGACGAATGTTGGGAACCTGAGAGGCCTTGGCTTTGTCCGTGCGAGACCCTTGGAGATCCGAAGCTGAGTCGTGCATGCAGATTGGTGCTATGTGCAATCATGGCAATCTGCTGTGTTCTTAAGTGGTTGTGGATATCTGTGGAGGAATGTTGTCTTTGGACCTTAGACTAAGATCTGCTTAAAAAAAAAACCTTTAGACATCCGTAAAAGCGAGAGGAGCTTTGGCGATCTCAGCTTCCACATACTTCCAAGGAGGATATTTTTTACCGCGGACGTACAGGAACCCCTTGGGGGTTTGGGCACCTCCGGGAGCACATCCCGTCAGCTGGGTCCAGAGCCTTGATGGTCCGAAGCTGGCTTTGGGAACATGCTTTGGAGCACTTTTGTGCGAACGGGCGGAGGCTTGGATTTTGGCGGAATGTGCCCCGATGCGTGCTTGCTGGTGACGCCAGCCTGGCAGGGAGTACTCGAGTGTCGAGTCTGCTAGCTGCTTTTGTGCGCTGTGGCAAAGGACTAGAACTCTGAGATACTACGAGGTAAGGCGAGATCAGCCCCCGGAATCCCCTTGAAGTATCTCAGCATCCCAAGTGGTATAAGCTAGCAAAGGTTGTGTCCATGCATCGCTGAGAGCGCTTCGCATGGGCTGCCTGCCAGAAGCAGCGGCAAGCTCGAAGCACAATCGAGAATCATATTTAAATTTGCGTGTCCACGCTCGGCACCCCCCCACTCCTTTTGGTTTTGACGGTGAGAAAACAGAAGTGCTGAGGGCTCTTAAACAGTCTGTGCGGCTGTGCCGAGCACGCTGAGAGCTCTGAGGCTGAAGTGCAATCGCTTGCAAGGAAGGATTTTTGATGTTTTGTTGCTAAAAAACAAGTTCTTCTGGCATCCACGGCCCTTCCTCTGTTTCCTTCATTCTTCTATGTGGCGGTCTTTTGGCAAACATTTGCTGCGTTTGAAGCTGCAGCGCCATTGGACATGTGCTAACAGCCCTTCCCTCAGCTCGACACTGCTGACTCTTTTAATAACTGTTCAAGCGCTTCCCCTCACTGCTGCCTCCCAAGATCCTATCATGTTGATCCCAAATTCAGTTTCAGAAGCAATAGTATAATAGCCTTCTTTTGGTGAGTCCTTGGGGGCAATCTTCCACGCAAGAGGTTTGGCAGAACGAGCCTGCGAGGGTGCAGTTTGCAGTTTCTCGCATCAATCCCGATCCACACTGTCACAGGCAACAGCCTGTACAGTACCATAATTCTTCGTGACATGATAGTGTAGTTACGATTGTTTCTGCTTTGTTTGGTTGTAGTTTTCTCTGAAGAGGCTTTCCTGTGAAACCGCAGGCAGCTAAGGAGCACCCTTGTAGAGGTCTTTGTCGGAACATGTTTGGATTGGCCTGCCATCGCGGAGACACAGGATTCTTTGTGGAATGACTCTGCCGAGGAAATATTTTCGTGGAGCCTTCCTTAAGGGTCCTCATGTCAGAAATACTTGGTTTCTTTGCACAAGCTCTCCCTTGAAGGGCTCCTGGCTTACGCGCACGCGCAAAGGACGCACACATGCATCTGCCGACAGCTGCTGCACAAGACGAAGTGGAATCATTTTGTGTAGGTAGACAGCCTGGGGGCCCATTGCGTTACATTGCTTGGGATGTTCCCCCTTATACTAACAGTCCGCAGTGCGGATTCTAGTACCCCCTACGATAGTCTCCATTCAGGATGGTCAGTAAAAGGGGGGAAATCCCAAGTTACATTGCTCTACATTGCTTCTTGCCAATGCAGCTGCGAAATCTTCCGCGGTGCTCAGCACCCAGTGGCGGTCGTTTGTCCACCTGTGCACTCTTGAACAAGCATTCTCGTTTGGTGTCAGAAGAAGCGCAATCTTAGCTTCAGAGCAGACAGGCGTCTCAATTTTGGTATGTTTCATGCTGAGAACACGGCACTGGGTCTTGCGGTGCTTCTAGTGGTCCACATAGTATCAGGTAGGGTTTATATTGGTTTTGGTGAGAGTACACAGGCTCCGTTGAAACATTGGTGAGTGTAGATGTTGCGGTGTGTGTCCTTTTGGGGATGTTAGTAAGAAGAACCCTATGTACCTCGTATGCTTGCCTCAATATTGTATCACAGAACATTTCAGGCCAGAGGACAGAGCATCAAATCTGTGCCTTGTGTGTGCAGCGTGGTGCAAACAATTTAAGTCCGGAGCGCCGCCAGCTTGGAGCATCTCACAAACTTGGCACGTCAGTACTCAGTAGTTCTGGCTGCTGGGCAAGCGTTTCACGGTTCCTTGATGAAGAAGGCCAGCATCTGTCCCGTTCCTTGCGGGTCTGTACGTACTCTACCGATCTGTAGTGAGGGTGAGATGTGGTTTGTCAAAGTGTTTTGCTGCCGCGCTGCTGTGCTTTCATCGGTCGCTCATGGAACATCTGGCACTGAGGATACCGTTGCCCGCTAGTTTTGTTGGCCCGCGCCAGCCATGTTCAGTTCCTTTTGCAGGCAAACCTCGCAAGCCCAAGTGTTCCAGTGCAGGCTGAAATTGTGGTGGCTCGGGTTCTTCGGTTGGGCGGTAAGGATTGCCTGCTGAGAGGGGTGAAGAGGGAGGTTCTCGCAACTGCACGCGCAAGGTTCTCCTATCCAAGGAGGAGTGGCGGAGAAGCCTTGCTTTGATATGTAGTCCCGAGGGGACAGGTCCGCTGCCGGCATTGTAGAGACGACCATTCTGCTGTGCAGTACACCGCCCTGATCAGAAACAAGCTGCTGTGGCAGATGCTGGGGTGGTATCCTTTGTGTACTGTAGGACTCTGGGACTGTGGGAATGCTGTTCTGTACTTCAGTTTAATGTCAAGTCCATCAGCTCCTGCTTTCTTTGCGCTGCGCTTGCTCGAGAGCCGAGAGGCTGTAACAGCAGGGCAGGGCCCGTGTCCTTAGCACGGAAGGGTTTGAGAAGATTTGGGGGGTTTACGAAAATAAGGGGCCCCAAATATAGACCCCCAAATAGGCGGATCTCCTCATGATAAGGACCCCAATAAGGTACCCCTTGTTTCGGAACCCCCCCCATTTGAGAACATTTGAGACCAACCCTTGATGACGTCACCCTGGCGATGATCCTGGAACCCGTCACCAGCGCACGGCGCTCGGCCTCCTTGCCAGCAAGCAGGCCAACCCCACGCGGCACAAGCCCATGCCGACCATGCCGACCATGCCGACCATCATACCCGCCATACCCGCCACACCCGCCATACCCACCATACCCCTCTTTCCAGCATCCTTCCTTTCAGTTCACACCTCCCAAGCCTCAGCTGGCAGCCTGCCCGACCGCGCCGACCGCTGTGACGCCGACCATGACACCAGCCGTGACAGCGGCGAAGCTGCAGAGCCCCGAACACGGCCAGATCGGCCAGGCATGGAAGCCTTCGAATCCCTGTCCACCAGCTCCACAAGCCCCCCTTCCTTGCCCTGAACCTGTTCATCCAGCTCCTGTTTCATCCATTGCACTTCCACTGACGCGGTCACCTCCGTTCACTCCAGCCCTGCCAGCTTTCGAGAGCAACTTTGAGTTTGTGAAGAGCCCTGCAGCTCGAAGTTCTCGAAGTGTTCGAAGTGGTCGAGGAGAAGACCTGAGTGAGCTGGAGCGACACGTGCTCGACCTGGTGCAAGGTCAAAAGGGTCTCCATCAGGAGCTTCAAGCATTGAAGGAGCAAGCAGCAGCTCAAAGTCGCGAGTTGGAATCCATGAGACAGCGTGGCGGTGTTGGGCGTCCAAAGTTGCCACCAACACGCAGCCCCGATACTGCACTGTCCTTCCCGAGCGATGGGAAAGCAGGTCACGCTGGGAACAGTCCTGCGCCTCGAGCAGGCAGTCGAGCAGGCAGTCGACCTTGCCCGGCACGTGGTGTCGCACGTAGTGCGATGCACGCGCCTGATCCAGCGAATGTAGCGGCTTCAACGCCAAGCCGCAGTCAGCGCTGGGACGACACCGTTGCAGACTGCTTACTCTGCACGAGGTGAGCTAATGCAAGCTATCAACAGAGGTGAGCTGATCGTTGCCGAAAAAGCGTCATGTCCGGATGCAATCTCCCCATATCTTGCACACGGTGCACTGGCTGACATGGCCGAGTCTTTGTGCCTACAGGCCTGCAACTTCCATTGGAGGTGAAGTACTGGACCCGCCAGCAGCTCGAAGTGTCCAGATCTGAGGGTTTTGTATACAAGTGTCGCAGTCTTCACATGTGTACTCGCAGCCCCCCCCCACGACTTTACGAGACAGCTCGGAGAGGTTCGTTATGAGCGGGGGAGTTCTACGACCGAAGAACTGCTCGATGCCCGATGAGCGCCTGCTGGCCCCCGGGGAGTGGGAAAGCACAAAGCTTTGAACACGATAAGGTTACCTACAACGTGTTTGACGTGTTGAATTGCATAAGATTTCCCCCGGGATCGCAGGCAAATGCGTCCATGAGCAAGGACGAAGTCGTGCACTCCCTGGCCCAGGTCTCGTGAAGAGCGGTTCAGAGGGCTGACCTTTCATGTGGGGCTGGTCTTGGTGCTTCCTTGACTGTTTCATGACCCGAGTTTCTGTCCCTATTCAAGATGAACAACAACATTGTAGACGGCAGCGGAGGGCCGTGTTGTACCCAACAGAGGGCTGCGAAGTTTTCTTGACACAGGCCAAGTGTGTGACTGCGGCTGTACATGCATCAACAATGGCTTTGCGCTGAACGGTCCTCCACCCAAGCCCTAAACCCTAAACCCTAAACCCTAAACCCTAAACCCTAAACCCTAAACCCTAAACCCTAAACCCTAAACCCTAAACCCTAAACCCTAAACCCTAAAACCCTAAACCCTAAACCCTGAACCCTGAACCCTGAACCCTAAACCCTAAACCCAAAACCTTAAACCCTAAACCCTAAGCCCTAAGCTGAACAACGCCTGCTCCAGGCTGCCGAGTGGATTGCCAATGCGGACGCACTGCTTATTGGCAGTGGCGTGCTGCGCTGAGTGATGGACGAAGCATATGGCGAAACATGGCAGAAAGCATGTGGACACCAAACAGAGCTCCACACATTTGTTGCGTCTTAGTTTAAGTTTCTTATCATGGCGCGGGCCTCTCTTCGACATGACAGCTGTCATCTGACTTTCTCTCAGAGGCCGGGATGGGAGTCGACTCCGGCTTGGGGACTTTCCGCGGTGGAAAGAAAGGCGGTGGCAAGACATCCATATGCCAATGTTGGAAGTTTTCGTTGGCGTACGTGAAGAGACTGAGAAACCTACTCTGCAGGAGTTTGGGATGGCCTGGAGGCAGTCGGTTTGGCTTACGAGGACGGGATCATTGGGCATGCAAGGTGCCGGCTTTGTCTTGTTGTTGACAGTTTGGATTTGTACGTGTGCATGTGTAAGCGGGCTTCATAGCAAAAAATGCCAACCCATGCCAGCTAGCACGTATAATTTGGCAACCGTTGGCGAACAAGTGTGGCGATCGGGCTCCATCTTGAATCTTGGTATCAGCCGGTCGAGCAAACCTGATGTCAAGTCAGGAGATCTGCGAGCCAAGATGGTTCGACGAGGTACTCCCGCCTGTGAACTCAATGCTGCAGGCTGGGTGACTAGGGCCGTTTTGGGCTGAGGCCTCGGGCGATCCTCGGCTGGCTTGGGGCTTCTGGAACCACTGCTACCGGGCGTACCAGGACCACTGGACTCTTCTCAAGTTGGGGGATGTGATGGTGAGACACGGCGCTTGTTACTCCTGTCTTGGACAGGAGACAAAGCCACACCAGGGCTATGGCGCCCTCCGGCAGCTGGGTGGGGCTCTTGCTGCTCAAGCTGTAGCTCTCTTGCATTCACGGTACGTCGCCTACGCGCGCACACATGCAAACTATGCTTCAAGACATGTTAGAGTGCCTGCTGCAGCCACTGAAACTTCTCTAAAGCAGTGTGGGGAACTGCTGTCCTGGCCAGGCATGCAAGATCCCATAGCCATGCTTGTAAGATTGATAGGCAGCTTCTGGTTCCCCAGCCATCGAGCCCAGACTGTTCCAGTCTGTACAAGCTTCTCCAGCCCACCTCGGCCCCGCAGAGGTCCACAACTCCCACACAAATCACCCGCACAGATCATGTCAGCAGGAGTAGTGCCAGCATACCTTGTGGCCTTTTAAGTTAGCGCCTCTCTAGCCATGCCAATTTCTGGTCTGCTCAGTGCTGCGGCACTCGGTGGTGTGGGCCAATCAATATGGCAGTACAACCGAGAGAAGCTTTCTGCAAGTATTCAACAAAAACAAGCGGGGGCGAGCACGTATGCGGTTTGTCTTGCTTTCAGCAGCTTTCACCTCAGGAACTACATGTTCGATGTTCCCTTACGGCAAGCCCGTGAGTTCCAAGTGCAGAACGTCAATCTAGCGCGCCTCTTGGCCAAACATCGGATGTGCCGAACTTCGCTTGTTGTTTGCTATGGCAACCTCAGCTTTGTGTTTGGAGAATGTTTTGAATGTTATGGCCGGGGTGCCTGTTCCGCCATTTTTTTTTTCTCTCTCTCTCTCTCTCTCTTGCTGTTGCCATTCGGTGTCTTTGAGACAAAGGCTTCGCACTGTTCCGAGAAGACATCCGTGACCTTGGTGCCTTGACGACCGACAAGGCCAGAGATGAGACATTCTACCAAGCAAGAATCACAAAGCCTGACTCTGAGCAAGGCCTCTGATACCAATATCTCCAAAAGCCATACACCGGCCCCAACCCACTATATGTCGGGTTGCAACCATGGCGCAAACTGCCGGCAGGTGGCGAACCTGCTGGTTGTCAATACCCTCAAGGCCCTGCCAGAGATGGAATCAGCTCTGGGAAGTCGCCAGCTTTGTAGTCTTTTTTTGAATGGGTTTCTGAAAAGCGCACAGCTAATGTCAGGTGGGCTTCATTGCAACCTGGCCGATGCAGGAACTCTTCTATCAAAAGTGGCTTATGTTTGTGGTTGGCAGCGTAGGATCTATCTGTGCAGTCTTTAGCTTTCCCAACACCCAGCCATCTCTTGGGCATCCCGATCTACCAACAAGCCCTACTGCCCCATGGGATGCCCCATCACTCCTCGATGTCGAGAGCCAACCCCTAAGATCCGATGTCGAAATGGGTATTTCCCAAATTAGGGGTACCCCTTTCATGCCCCAAAAAGAACAGAATCCCCTCAAAGGGAACACCCAAAACAGGGCACCCCTTTTTTTCGGAAGCCCTCAAATGAAGACAGCGGCCTCTCCAGGTTGCACTGTACTTCAACTTCGACCGGACAGACAGCGGCTTCCAAGCGCGGACGTACCAGGAGGATCAGCTCGCTGTGCTTCTGCACCTGGGCGAGAGAGCTCGCTGCGAGGAGTTTCAGATGTCTGATGTGTAGGAGTCTTGCAGGGTTCTTTTTGAGTGCCTCTGCGTTTATGACTTTGCGCGGAGTTTCGAGCATCTTTTTTTCGGGGGGGGGGGGGTTGATCTTTGCAGAAGCAGAAGAGCCGCTGGCCGCAGCCCTTATGCTGAGGGGAATGACCCTCCTCACGTCCTTCTTTTTCTTGATGACCTCGAAGCCAGGATGCAGACAGCGGGCTGCACGCCCTGTCCAAGTCTACTGTAGGGTTTTAGGCTGAGAAGCACCGAGGATATGGTTTGCAATGCATGCTTTTCAGCTTTCCCAAGCCATCACTACCAAGCCTCTTGGCCATCGGCTGGTTCCCTTCTCGGGGTTCAACATGCCATGTGGAAGCCATACAGGTTGCTTGTGCAAGTCGTGCGCATCCCTATGCCCTCCGAGTATGACATCGCCAAGGCCTACTTCATTGGTGATAAATCCTGCCCAAAACGAGCCTCAACCATGGTAGTTGAGCTCGCGATGCGGGGAGGCGTCTACCGAGGGCAGGGACTTCGAGTTGAACTTCCGTGAGGCCAATCTCGGACCGTTAGGCTTGCACTCTTGACGGTAGTACCGGTAGTACTGCAAAGAAAGCAGGGCGCACCGAGAGCGCTGCTCTGCGGAGGCGCTGCGGCTTCCGTTCCTTCGACCGACGCTCGATCAGGACAGGTGCGACATCTCGGATCGAACCCGAAGGCTGCAAGCCATTGCAAGCCGAGACCCGTGAGACCTTCATGCAATCCTGGGCTCCGCGAGGAGACGATTCGCGATCACATGAAGGACGTGAGCCGACAATTCCCGCAGCTGCCCCGCAGAAACCGAAGTGTACTCGACAGCAGTCCTCCCCTCCCGCTCCCTGACATCCGCCCCAAAATGACACCACAAGCATAATGAGTAGGAACTGGGCAGTCAGTCCCATGCCTCGCGTTTTTTTTTGTAGGGTTTTTGTTGGGGAGATGGAAAAGTGTCAAGCAAGATCAGAAACCGCCTTGTGGACAGAGCACTTCAGTGAGGTTGTCAGAGGAGGTTCCCCGAGAAGACTCCAGGCCTGGTCTGGGACATGGACATGATGGGACCTTGGAAGCTGCATAAAGACATGGTCCCTCTTTGTATGTCACCAACCTTGGACTGGACGTCGCCAAGCTGCATCGATTCGCTTGCGTTCGCTGTTGCTCTTGCTTGCTCTTGCTTCGTGTGAGATCTTGGGAGGCTGACGGCCGACACCCAACCTGCAAGCCCAAGAAGTAGGGCGCCATCCTACTCATCTCCCAAGCCCAATGGCCCCCCCACCAACGGTGCTGCTCCCAGCGGGTTCTTCCATTGGTGTGTGTCATGTGAGCATTTCTCTCTGCAGAGTACTGAGCATTTGCCGGGTCCAGCACGTTGCTGGTGTGCAGCCTGCTAAGGCACGCCGTTGCTTCAAACGACGAAGCCTGTAAACAGGACGGTGACAATGCAGGACAGTGCAACGAATCCTCCACTCTGCTCAGAATAGCGCTTTTGGATGATCCTCGTTTTTGAATAAAGTTTTCTGCAGAAACCTGAGAGGAGCTACTGCACTGCCTGCCACCTCACGCAGAACGGGCTACGTCCGAGATGGAGCCGCACCTTGAAGTGAATCCCGCTTTGGTTCGTTCGGTCCGAATCTGTACTTGCCGAAAATTGCCTCGATTTGCCTAGCTTTGGTAGACTGAAAGCCTAAAGGCGGCGCTGGTAAGCGGGTTTGTGTCGCTCCACAGGCATCTCAAGCTACTTTGCTTGGTGGCGTCCGCTTGGCAGCCTTTTGCCTCTCGACTTAAGTGTACGACCTTCCAATGAGTGCCTTGCAATATGAGGTACCAGAGTTGCGCAGAGCGCGTTGCATGGTCTGACATTTAAGGACTTGTACAGTCGAGTTACCACCGATGCCTGGCTGACTTATGCTTGGACTTGCACTACGCTCGCAAGATTTCTCTGTCCTGGGAACGGCCCGCATCGAGTTATCGAGTTTCATGGATGTGTTGCTTGCCAAGGTTCTGGGCTCCTCTTGTCTTTTTAGTGGCCTGGCCTACTTCTCCTTGCACTTCGGCTGCAGGGAACCAAAAAAAAGCCCAGGTCACAATCGGCTCCGTTGGCTGAAGCGCGCAAAGCCTTCCATGAAAAGCTTGAGAAGCCATGAAGCCATCCAGGTACTACAACCGTTTTGATGTGGACGGTGGCAGCGGCATGCCCACAGAGGTGGAGATGGCTTCCGCTGTGATAGCTGCGTGTGATAGGGGTGTCAAGCTGATCGGAAGCTGTGGTCGTGCAACGTCACGCAGGCTTGGTGCAGCTTTCTGTTCATGTCCACACTGGCTTGGTGGAACCTCACCATCGAGATCGCAGGCCAGACTTTTGACCTTTGTCAGCCCCTGTGTGTGCGTCACGAAGTTTGTAAGGCAGCAAGCTCGATCTGTTCATTGCTGCGCTGCTTATTCTCGTCGGTCCCACGCTTTGGCCTTTGCCTCAGAGATCGCGGAGTCATGCGGAGATCCCAAAGTGAAGGAAACAGGTTTTGAGGAGAGGCTTCCATGCCCATGTTCTGTTGAGCTTAAGCCTGATTCGAGTATGATGGAGTCAGGCGACGATTTAGTAGTATGTGTCCGGAGTTTTAGGCTCCATTCGCTGTTGCGCGCAGCAAAGTACCCCGCTCTTCTCTCGGAATCATGGCACGTTCTTCGTGGAAAGCCTTGAGCGTGGCTGCTGCGCTGGTCGCTTTGTACAACTTTTGCAACAGCTTGAGTTTTGTCCCGGGGCCCTTGAGAAAACATGTGCCCGTGGCAGCTGCGTCCGCAGCCGGCATGATGATGGCTCCAGCTGCCTACGCCGACGAAATTGGTGATGCAGCCAAGAAGCTTGGTGATGCTTCCTATGACTTCGCGAAGGAAGTGGACTGGAACAACGGCATCTTCTTACAAGCTCCTGGCAAGTTCCAACCTCTCCAAGCTCTCAAGGCGATTGACAAGATGATTGATATGGGCGCGGCAGCAGACCCCAAGCTCTTGAAGGCAGCGGCGGAGGCCCATCACAAGGCCATCGGAAGCATCTCAGGTCCAAACGGTGTGACTTCTCGGGCGGATTGGGATGCGGTGAACGCGGCTTTGGGCCGCGTTGTGGCGTCCGTCCCCAAGGCAAAGGTCATGGACGTGTACAATGCCGTGAAGGACATCACTGACCCTGCCGTGCCGGGGTACATGAAGTCTTTGGTCAACGGTGCGGATGCCGAGAAGGCATACAAGGGCTTCTTGGAGTTCAAGGATGTGGTGGAAAAGAGCATTGGAGTTGATTCAGATCTATTTTTGACTATCTTGGCATTCCCACGTCGTTCTGCATTCTTAGCATCTTTTTAAATGAACTCCTGAAACATTCCAAGGAACCAAGTGTCTGCGGTTGGTGCTCCGGCCACTGTGCCCACTGGGGACAAGATTGGTGCGGCGGCGAAGGCCCTTTCGGATGCATCTTACCCTTTCTTGAAGGAGGTGCAGGATGGCAAAGAAGAACAATCTTTGCTGAAGACAAAATGAGAGACATCATTTGAGTCCCATGCCAGAGCCAGTTCCTAAGGGTTTTGCAATGGGTTTCTTTCGGGCTGATGGTTATTTTTTCGTATTTTTTCTGTTTTTTTTTTCGTATTTTTTATGGTTTCAGGTGAACCCTAAACCCTAAACCCTAAAAACCCTAAAAACCCTAAAAACCCTAAAAACCCTAAAAACCCTAAAAACCCTAAAAACCCTAAAAACCCTAAAAACCCTAAACCCTAAACCCTAAACCCTAAACCCTAACCCTAAACCCTAAACCCTAAACCCTAAACCCAAGACCATGAAAATTCGAAAAAAAAACCAGAATAAATACGAAAAAAAAACCTGGACCCTTTCTTTTGACCGAGCATGCTGGGTTGTTTGTGCGCGTGCCCTCAGGTGGACTGGCTGTCCGACGTTTACCTGAAGCCGCTGCCAGGCACCACCGCCCCGAAGGTGATGACCGCCATTGACAAGATGATCGTGATGGGCAGCCAGATGGACGGAAACCTTCTGAAGGCTGCCGCTGAAGCGCACCACAAGGCCATTGGCAGCGTGGACGCCCAGGGAGTGACGTCTGCTGCGGATTACGAGGCAGTGAACGCAGCTATCGGGCGCATTGTCGCATCAGTGCCCAAAGCAACCGTGATGGACGTGTACAACTCCATGGCCGCAATTGTGGATGGATCCATTCCCAACAACATGTTCTCCAAGGTGAATCCTCTTGACGCAGCTGCCGCCGCGAAGGGCTTTTACACTTTCAAGGATGTGGTGGCTGCTTCCCAGCGCTGATTAGAGTCTTTGGCCGGTCGCGGCCACGACTCTATATGTAGCTGCTTGCCAACTGTGACTTTTTGAATTGTACAGTGCAGAAGATATGGTTGAGTTAGCGCCTGACGACAATGTTGTGCCTCGAAGAAGTGTTATACGGGCTTGAGAGTACCAGGCACGGCGTTCAGAGGTGATTCTTGTCCTGGTTCAGTGCAGGAAGAAGGGGTGGTAGATGTAGATGCCAGCAGGTATTTGCTCTGTCTGAGAACATTTGCAGACTTGCCGAGAATCCCAAAGCTAAGTAAGCATGTTTCGAGGAGAGGCTTCAATGCTCATGTTCCCTTGAGCCTAAGTCGAGGGAGTGCTACTTTTGCCGGAGTTTTAGGCTCCATTCGCTGTTGCGCGCAGCAAAGTACCCCGCTCTTCTCTTGGAATCATGGCACGTTCTTCGTGGAAAGCCTTGAGCGTGGCTGCTGCGCTGGTCGCTTTGTACAACTTTTGCAACAGCTTGAGTTTTGTTCCGGGGCCCTTGAGAAAACATGTGCCCGTGGCAGCTGCGTCCGCAGCCGGCATGATGATGGCTCCAGCTGCCTACGCCGACGAAATTGGTGATGCAGCCAAGAAGCTTGGTGATGCTTCCTATGACTTCGCGAAGGAAGTGGACTGGAACAACGGCATCTTCTTACAAGCTCCTGGCAAGTTCCAACCTCTCCAAGCTCTCAAGGCGATTGACAAGATGATTGATATGGGCGCGGCAGCAGACCCCAAGCTCTTGAAGGCAGCGGCGGAGGCCCATCACAAGGCCATCGGAAGCATCTCAGGTCCCAACGGTGTGACTTCTCGGGCGGATTGGGATGCGGTGAACGCGGCTTTGGGCCGCGTTGTGGCGTCCGTCCCCAAGGCAAAGGTCATGGACGTGTACAATGCCGTGAAGGACATCACTGACCCTGCCGTGCCGGGGTACATGAAGTCTTTGGTCAACGGTGCGGATGCCGAGAAGGCATACAAGGGCTTCTTGGAGTTCAAGGATGTGGTGGAAAAGAGCATTGGAGTTGATTCAGATCTATTTTTGACTATCTTGGCATTCCCACGTCGTTCTGCATTCTTAGCATCTTTTTAAATGAACTCCTGAAACATTCCAAGGAACCAAGTGTCTGCGGTTGGTGCTCCGGCCACTGTGCCCACTGGGGACAAGATTGGTGCGGCGGCGAAGGCCCTTTCGGATGCATCTTACCCTTTCTTGAAGGAGGTGCAGGATGGCAAAGAAGAACAATCTTTGCTGAAGACAAAATGAGAGACATCATTTGAGTCCCCATGCCAGAGCCAGTTCCTAAGGGTTTTGCAATGGGTTTCTTTTGACCGAGCATGCTGGGTTGTTTGTGCGCGTGCCCTCAGGTGGACTGGCTGTCCGACGTTTACCTGAAGCCGCTGCCAGGCACCACCGCCCCGAAGGTGATGACCGCCATTGACAAGATGATCGTGATGGGCAGCCAGATGGACGGAAACCTTCTGAAGGCTGCCGCTGAAGCGCACCACAAGGCCATTGGCAGCGTCGACGCCAAGGGAGTGACGTCTGCTGCGGATTACGAGGCAGTGAACGCAGCTATCGGGCGCATTGTCGCATCAGTGCCCAAAGCAACCGTGATGGACGTGTACAACTCCATGGCCGCAATTGTGGATGGATCCATTCCCAACAACATGTTCTCCAAGGTGAATCCTCTTGACGCAGCTGCCGCCGCGAAGGGCTTTTACACTTTCAAGGATGTGGTGGCTGCTTCCCAGCGCTGATGAGAGTCTTTGGCCGGTCGCGGCCACGACTCTATATGTAGCTGCTTTCCAACTGTGACTTTTTGAATTGTACAGTGCAGAAGATGTGGTTGAGTTAGCGCTTGACGACAATGTTGTGCCTCGAAGAAGTGTTATACGGGCTTGAGAGTACCAGGCACGGCGTTCAGAGGTGATTCTTGTCCTGGTTCAGTGCAGGAAGAAGGGGTGGTAGATGTAGATGCCAGCAGGTATTTGCTCTGTCTGAGAACATTTGCAGACTTGCCGAGAATCCCAAAGCTAGGTAAACATGTTTCGAGGAGAGGCTTCAATGCTCATGTTCCCTTGAGCCTAAGTCGAGGGAGTGCTACTTTTGCCGGAGTTTTAGGCTCCATTCGCTGTTGCGCGCAGCAAAGTACCCCGCTCTTCTCTTGGAATCATGGCACGTTCTTCGTGGAAAGCCTTGAGCGTGGCTGCTGCGCTGGTCGCTTTGTACAACTTTTGCAACAGCTTGAGTTTTGTTCCGGGGCCCTTGAGAAAACATGTGCCCATGGCAGCTGCGTCCGCAGCCGGCATGATGATGGCTCCAGCTGCCTACGCCGACGAAATTGGTGATGCAGCCAAGAAGCTTGGTGATGCTTCCTATGACTTCGCGAAGGAAGTGGACTGGAACAACGGCATCTTCTTACAAGCTCCTGGCAAGTTCCAACCTCTCCAAGCTCTCAAGGCGATTGACAAGATGATTGATATGGGCGCGGCAGCAGACCCCAAGCTCTTGAAGGCAGCGGCGGAGGCCCATCACAAGGCCATCGGAAGCATCTCAGGTCCCAACGGTGTGACTTCTCGGGCGGATTGGGATGCGGTGAACGCGGCTTTGGGCCGCGTTGTGGCGTCCGTCCCCAAGGCAAAGGTCATGGACGTGTACAATGCCGTGAAGGACATCACTGACCCTGCCGTGCCGGGGTACATGAAGTCTTTGGTCAACGGTGCGGATGCCGAGAAGGCATACAAGGGCTTCTTGGAGTTCAAGGATGTGGTGGAAAAGAGCATTGGAGTTGATTCAGATCTATTTTTGATTATCTTGGCATTCCCACGTCGTTCTGCATCTGCGGTGCTTGTATTCTTAGCATCTTTTTAAATGAACTCCTGAAACATTCCAAGGAACCAGGTGTCTGCGGTTGGTGCTCCGGCCACTGTGCCCACTGGGGACAAGATTGGTGCGGCGGCGAAGGCCCTTTCGGATGCATCCTACCCTTTCTTGAAGGAGGTGCAGGATGGCAAAGAAGAACAATCTTTGCTGAAGACAAAATGAGAGACATCATTTGAGTCCCCATGCCAGAGCCAGTTCCTAAGGGTTTTGCAATGGGTTGCTTTTGACCGAGCATGCTGGGTTGTTTGTGCGCG